CTCTGCAGCTCCATGTCTGATATCAATACACTCCAAATTGTTAACTATGTTCATCTTTGTTGACTGCAATACACTCCTTTCTTTTGGGCTGGTTCCATTCCCACATAGCTTTCCTTGGCAGATATCCCATGACGCTGGCATCTTCAATATTTTGGGGCCTACAAGGCAATCCAGTCTTTGCCTTCACAACTTCATGCAATGGACTCTCTTGGCCTCTATTCAGGGAAACCCCTGACACATGCTTTGCCTCAACAGCTTTCCCTGGTTGTAGATGAAGCTTCTATAACACCTTTATTCTATCTTTGATAGAATAAAGCCAGAATGATGTGGCTAAAGCTGACAAGTTTTTCTGCTTGCTAGGGCTGGAATGTGACCGACTCATTCAAGTACATCTTCTAGTTTTCTATGGTTTCATTCACTGACTAAGCTTGGCAGCCCTGGAACTTGTTTAGTGGACCAGGCTGGCCTCAAACTCTATAACTTTTATAATTACAGTATGTTAAGAAGAAAGTCACTAAAACACCTGAGAAAATGTCTCTGTATGCACACATACCAATACATGGAAGCAAGAGAATGGCTTCTGTTCATTGATGTGTATGTGTGTGTGTGTGTGTGTGTGTGTAATTATGTGTAATATATGTGCTTGTTATTGTGGTATGTGTGGGTATATGCACATGTGGATGTGAGTGCACATGTATTCGAGCATGCATGTGGGGACCAGCAGTAAACATAAGTGTCTATCCTCAATCACTAATTTTTTGAAACACAGTCTCTACTTGAAATTGAAGCTTGTCAGTTCATCTAGTTCAGCTGGCCAGTGAACTCCAGGAATTGGGCTGTCTTCAGATGCCCTGCCTATTTCTACTCCCCGGGAGTTACAGAAAGAACAAATATATGTGCCTATTTATGTAGTTCTTGGGATCTGAACTTAGGCCCTCATCCTTGCAAAGCAGTCACTTTATCTACTAAGTAATATCCCCAGTGCTACCTAAAAATCTGTAACAAATGTATTATATATTTAATTGCATGCATGCATTCTTGTGTCACAGTGTACATGTGGAACTCAGATAGTGTTCAAAGTTCTCTTCTTCCACCATATATGACCTGAGGATTGAACTCAGATAACCATCTTTGGCACCAGATAACTCTTTGTGGTCTCATCTCACTGATCTGCAACCCCCAAAATCTTTCCCAGGGGGAGTAGGGTAGAGATCAAGAGTTGAGGCAGATAACCAAGATGGTTTTCTGTCTATAGTGATCATTTATCATGCATAGATCTCATATGGGTTAATTTAAAGCTTTGAGAAACTAAGAAATCCAATATTTGTTAAGTAAATTATTTTAAAAGCATTTTAGCTATAACTTGTAAAAGTGTTAAATGAGTGTATGCTACACAATACTTGGATACGTCTTATGTTTAAACTATGCAGTGAATATTAATAATTTTGCACACGTGTCAGATTATATATGTGGATATCGTTACATGTTACAATGTGCACACACAGATAGACGAAGCAAACAGGAATTGGCAGGAGTTGCTTGAGAATTCAGATCTGGCATCATAGATGGAGCATGAGCCAGAGAGCTCATCTCCAGCAAATCCTTTGGGAAGAATCTTTTTTATGTTGTTGTGAGCTAGTAATGAATGCCAACTGGGAATCCTTTTTCTCTGTTTATGAAATCCAAAAACTCCTAGCAAAGAGAAAATACAGTCTTCTAATTGAAGAAAGTTACAACTGCTCATAGTCACCAGCAAATACACTTCCATTATAGACAGCTTTTGGTTTCTAAGGCTAGCCATCGTTTTCTTATTCCATGGAGCAAACATTCAGCTGGTGGAGAAGAAAGTATTAGGAGTTGAACATCATCCCTGACTGCTTAGTTTGAGGCCTATCAGCACTACATAAGACCATGTCTCAACATTTTAAAAACTGAAATGGGCCTTTAAACCACCTAGACCAAAGGCCACTCCCCAGGAAAAGTATGCATTTTGGAGACTTTAGAAATAGAATAAGCCTGGCCTAAAATGTAGGCTGGCCCCATGCTCTCTCTGGCCATTTTCACTCTCATGTAATTTACAAGGTCCCTTTGCCCATTACATCCCTCACCCTTGAAAGTGCCTTGTATCACTCTGTAATAAATTCCACCTGGCCCTTATACTACAATTTATGTATCTCATTTGAAGTCATTCAATAGAGATCACAGAACCAGGGAGCTAAAGGTAGTCCCAAACAAGATTCTAGAATGAATTCCTAAAATGTGCGCCTTGAGTGAATGTCATAGTTCATTAGATAAAAGTGATTTTGTTCTGTAATCCTCACAACCTAAATTTTATCCCTCAAGTTCACCAGGGAAGGAGAAAATTGCCCTCCACATGTACATCACAGAATGTGTGTGTTCACCCCTCCCTGCCCTGAAGCACACACACATATACACACACTGAAAAAGAGAAAATGTGCCTTTATGTAAGATGGGAAAGACAGAAGAGCTGATCCATATTTGGCCTTTGATCCTACATCAAAATATTGACAAAATAATATAGTTTATTCCAATAGTGCATACATTCTCTTAAAAAACTATTCTCTTGTTTTTATTGGCATTTAACTTAAGTGGCTACTAATTTTATATCCTGTATAGACAGGCCTGGATATTTTGAGAATTTACAATATTTCCAGAGTGCATCAGTTCACCTCGTACATTTGAAAGATGGGTGATTTCAATGCATGGGCTGTAAATCTGGCTTTAAATAGTAAGGAAACTCCAAATCAAGTAGGTATTGACCATGTCACAGACATTCTCAGCTAAGATGGATACAGTGGTTCCTACCAAACTAACTAAAGTGCTGAGGGTCAAGGTGAGTCTTTAGGGATACAGCAACTACCAGAAAGGGAGTCCAGTCCATGGATGAGACAAGATCAAGATAAATGCTTAAGCATGGATGGGAACAATACAAAAGAAAGCTTCATTTGAGTATTTACTTTGCTGAGAAGTAGGGAAGTGAAATGGATGCATATTGTATAATGGGATAGATAAAAATCCTATGAAATTGTTATGGGGGACTACACAATTCTTCAGAAGGAGCTCTTATAGTCGTAACAAGTGTTAAGGAGGAGGACTGGAGATGTAGATCAATTGGTACAGTGTTTGCCCACATGTAAAAAGCCCTTGAATCAATTTCCAACACTGAATAAAGTTGGGCATGGTAGAATATGCCTAGAATCCTGGAAGTTAGTTAGGTGGAAGATGTAAACAGAACAGAAGTTTCAGATAATCTTTGACTACATACCGAGTTCGAAGTCAATCCGGACTACATGAAACAATTGCTGAAATAATAAGATCCATTGGGTCAACTCAGTTTTCCTCAATGAACGTGAAGCTTTGTCATAAATGTCTTGATTTCTACTTTTGAAGTAGAAGACACATGGCCAGCATGTCCTACTCCATTCTCCACAAAATCCTGGATTGCTCTCTGTATGCAGCCTGATCTTCATAATGTGGCCAGCAAGGTGAGGCCTCTATTTCAACCCTCTCCATCCTTGTCTGCCATGGCAGATTAGCTTTCAAACTGCAGTCCAATTCCTTATAGAAATTCTGCCTTCTCTCTTCTTTTTCATATTAACTATCTCAGTTTGTATGTTGTAGATCCTGACTATTCTTCACTAATTGGTATATGAATATTTTCAATAAGACCTTGTGGTGGTTTGAATGAGCAAGGTCTTCATAGGTTCATATATCTGAATGTTTGTTTCTCAGTTGGTGCACTGCTTAGGCCAGATTAGGAGTATGACCTTGTTTGAGGAGGTGTGTCATCAGGAATGGACTTGGAAGTTTCAAAAGCCCAAGCCAGACCCAGTCTCCCACTCACTGCCTCCTGCTTGTGGATCAGATGTAAGCTCTCAGGAAAAGCTCTAGCAACATGCCTGTATGTCACCATGCTCCCAGCCAAGAGTCATAGGCTCATCCTCTGAAACTGTAAACAAGCCCCAAATAAAATGCTTTCTTTTGCAAGCTGTCTTGGTTATGGTGTCTCTTCACAGCAATAGAGCAGTAAGCAAGACAGACCTTAAGTGCTGTCCTAATATTTTCTGCATGTATGCTTGCTCACATCTTGAGTACAATGCTTTAATTGACTATTGAGGCAGAATAACTTCACTATGTTAACAGAGCACAAGCAGGGCACAATGCTCCTAGCAGGCAAATAGTAGATCTCCAAAGTAAGTAAATTCATGAGACGTTACTATGGTATTTTTTACTATACAAACATGGACAGTAGGCTTCAGATGATGTAAACTCTATGGCAGAGGGTGGCCAGTCAGAGCTCCGTGACTGGCTGCCTAAGGATCAGCATTTTAGCCATCTTTTCATGTTCAAGCCCAGTGTTGTCTACCAACATTCAGCCTGTTGCAGATTTTACCCCCATCCCTGACTTCAAGCCCTGCACATGTTTTTTGTGCTGAGCATAAGAAAGGAAAGTCAGTGTAGCTGCATAGGAATATTTCTCTCTCCAACAAAAGGAGAATGAATGTCTTCCCAGTATTCAGAGTGAATTTGATGCAAATTCAAAGTCATGGAACAGAAATCCCATCTTCAAAGTTTCCTGCATTGGCCTGAGCCATTTTCCTGTATTTTGGAATCACTAGTTTTCACAATGAAGCCCTTTTCTCATTTTAGTTTTGGAAATTGCTCATGTTCTGGGATGGAGAGGTGTGCATTAGATTCTCACAGTCCATACACAGACTTTAAAAGTTTAATACATTACTAATAGAAAATTTTACTGCCACCAATTACATAAATTGAGGCTCAAGGATCACCATAGAGCTTGAAAGATACAGGATCAGGCACAGGGACACTCCTGTAAGTGCTTTTTGATGGAAGGACAAGGGCAGGAACAATAAAGTTTCTAAGTATTATGCTGATTTTCCCAAAGAAAAAGTGAATATCTGCTATAACATATAAGAGCATGTAAGCTAGTGAGCTAGGAAATAAACTTGAAAAGTCAATCATATGACAGTGGAGTTATGCACCACCTAGTTTAATTCAAGGATAGATGAGTGATTTCAATGAAAGAAACCACACTGTTTCCTCTTCGTCTTAATCAGTGTTCCAGCTTCACATTTTCTGAGGACACATTCATCGATTCATTAAAATAATCATAGTTTTGGTCTATGGCCTCCACCAGTTTCAAAAAACATGAAATCCTAGATAAGGAGAAAAATAGTAAAGTCAATTATCAGCAATAAAAGCGAGGCTACTTTTCAAATTAAGAAAATGGAGGGAACTCAGCTGTGGGAGGCAGTAGAGTTTTGAGGGTGAAGTCACACTGGTCTACACAGTGAGACCTTTTCTCAAAGCAAAGACGAACAAGATATTAAAGAATAAGCAAAGTATAAACCAAGCCAAAGAGGAAAAAAGGGAAATGAGGTCTGTGGATTACAAATGAAATGCTACACATTTATAAGAATGAAACTTCTCATAAACAACAAAATGGATTAACCTGGAAGGTAGTAGTTACATGAAATAAATCAGAGAAGAAAATAAAATATAGCACACTCTCACGTGCTGAATGTAAAGATGTTAAACTCATCACTCTAAACAAAGAGAATAGAATTATAGCCTGAGGATGGAAGTTGGGTTGTGGGAATAAAAGTTGTTTTAAAGGCTCTAAATGTTCATTAATGAAGAATAAGTCCTAGTGATTCACACAGGGACTGTGACTGGAGGTATATCACGGCATTGTATATTTCCAAATTGCTAAATAGCACATTTCAAATGTTCACATTGAAATATAAAGACAATCCTTGAGGTAATGTATATGATGGTTAGTTTGATATGATCATTGCACAACCAAAACTTCAATCAAGATACCATGTGAAACCACGTAAACACATACATATAATATTTATCTATTGAAGTAAATAGAATTGTTGCAATATTGAAGCTTTAATTAAGGAATTAGCTATCACTCATATCTCAAATTTGCAGAATAACATGCTAAATCCTAGCAATTTCTAACCTGGTTTATAATCACTAACATGGCAATGTTTGACTAAGCTATCATTTCATTTCCTTGATCTCTATGACTTTTCTCTCATCATTGAAGAGCAAATATTTAAAAAAAAACAAAATCTCAATGGGTGTGGAAGCTTGGATGTATATTCTTATTGATGGTTATACTTCATTTTATTTTAGTCAAATAATATGTCAAGATAAAACTCTTTGTTTCAACAGCTTTTATTACATTGTAATACATTACAGTATTAATTCCTTGAAATCTCAATTTAACATTTTGTTTAGTAAAGTCAGAATCTCTCAACAGGTGAGCTTTGTATCTTTGATTTGAAACTGCATGGCTTCTCTGGATAGAAAATATATTCCCCGTGATTCCAAATTGTAAGAATTACCTGAAATCATCTCAGAGTTAGAGCTATATATTACCTCATCTATAAAATCGGGGAAGTAAGAATGTATTCCTCCTTTGGTTAGTTTTCCTTTTCCTAATTTTTTAGAATCTCATGCATACATGCAATGAAATATGATCATACCCACTTCCCATCTCCCTAACTAAGAAGGTGATCTTAAAGTGTGCAGTTTTCATGTTATCTTCATGGGGACTCCACCTGAAATAACAATCACAAGGAACAGACTTACTATGAGGAAGCACGCTCCAAGCATCACAGCCTTCATCTTTACATCAAGGTCCATCGGGAACTGGATCCCAAAACTGTCCACATCTGTCAGTATCTCCTTCAGAAAACCAGACCAATGCTTGGAAATCCTGCCAATCACAATTTTTTCATCCAGAGATTTGATCTGAATTGGAAAACAAAAATCAGTGAACAAAGGGAGAGGCTTAGAAAGCTCTTGAAAACTAAACAAACAAACAAACAAACAAACTACTTTCAGTGTTTGAATAAGAGGAATCCATTCAAATCATCCTGTCATGTAACTAAACATTTGAAGCCTTGCTATATAAAATAGGAATTTGGGGCATTATATATGAAAATTCACAGTGTTTCTCCATTGTTTTTACTAGTTTCTTAAAAGTAAGTTGTATATCAGCTTAAGTTCTGTTAGTGTTTCTGAAAATAGAAATAATTTTGCACATATCTAGATGCTTTCTCGAATAGACCTGTTTTTACACATATACTATATAAAGTTTTTATAGGACATATTATATTTCCTCACACATGCCAAGAACCTTATACATGATGATTTGTAAGATATCGTGTAGTGTTTCTGTATTACTTGTGTTTTCTTAGAGCTGCCCATGTCTGTGATTAGGTTTTTAGGTCACTGAAGGCAAGGCTTCATGTATATGTAACTGGATTCTAAGACAGCAATGAAAAACCTGCATGGCTACCAGGTGCATTAGGCCATGTGACAGAGTGACCCCCACAGACACGCTGTCCTGGGCATGAAGAAGAGTTCTAAAGGCTCATCAGGAAGGGGTAGCCCTCATCAACTTTAGAGTATTTTTGCCCCTCTGTGGAAATGTAGGCCTAATATTTTTTCAGGTTTTCTGAATTTTGAAAAGGATTAGAGTTAAAATGACAAAATTTCCCTCATCTTTAAAAATTCCTCCAGGAAGTAAATGTAAAAACATGTTTTCCAGTGGACTAACTGAACAGGGAGATCACAGAGAAGCATACTTGGACAGTAGACACTATATCTGCACTAGCTTTTCTCTTCTAAAAATGATTCACTTGTTTATTTTATTTATTTAAACCTTTTTTCTTGAAACTGCTTCTTGTCAGGTAATAGTCATAAGAATAAGAAAAGTAGCCAATACAGAAATTGTGGTTATTTTTAGATGACTGTACATATTTCTTATTTGACACTGACCTTTCACTGGACCAGAAAATATTTCTATGACCATGTTATTTGTCTTCTAAAATATTTGTACAAAAATCTCCATTTAATTCAACTGTAGGTCATTGAAAAATTTATAAGGAAAAGAAATCCAATAAAGATGATCACATCTGTTACCTCAAAATCAACATTTCCTACACAGCTGCATGTGATACATGGACCAATAATTTTTAGAACAGCCTGCTTCTTCTCATTTTGAACTGTAAACTTTGGAGCACACGGGTGCCAAGTCTGAATAACATAACCTATTGGTACTCCAGGAGGAATTTGGACTTCTATCTACAAATGAAAAAGAGCATTGATCAATATGTTAATCAGATTGTTTATTTGTGGCTTCATTTACTAAGAATGACACACAATGAGTCAATCTACAATTCCCCTTAATTAGAGCAATGCTATCTCTTTTGCTAATTCATGGAAGAGACAACACACCAAGTAAGATGAATTAGCTTGCATCAGATTCCTCAGCTAACACACAGAAGGGATGGATTTTAAACATTTAAAAACTTGCATGCTTCACTTTCCTCAAACACGTTCTCCTCAGACACTGCTATGCATGGCAGATTATACCTGGTCTAAATAGCATTTACTCTAAATACTTTAATAAAGTAATTCTTTATTTTAAAAAAACTCATTCTCTCAAAGTACAGTAAGTATAGTATTAAACTTTAAATAGCTTTTTCTTGTTATCTCTTTTTGAGCATACTTTAAGGATATTATTTATAGAATCACTGGAGTATGTGGGCAGACATGGTCCAGGGCTAGTAAAATCCAGGCAAAGGCTACCTACCTTCACTATAAAGTCTCTGTGCCCTGGTATCTGCTTTGAAAGCCACATTTGAAATAAGTAGACCATAAAGTGATGTGAGACAGACAGATGGTCTTTGGCTGAGGACATCTCCATCTGGGGAATGTTTATTACAGAAGATACAATTTACTGTATTTATTAAAAGAAAAAGAAGTGAAAAATACAGGAGATGATTTTTTTCTATTTGTCCTCCAGTGGAGTCCAAGTCATCAGATAAATCACAAGTTGGATACATCTAGCCTTCTCCCTACTCTTTTGTTAATGCACTCTATTTCTAGAAAAATATTCCCAGACATGCAGCTCCATTAGTTTGGTCCATCCTAGTCATGATCATTTCTGACAAGAGATTTGGTCAAAATGTCTTCCCCTGAACATCAGAAACTGTTGTTTGAGTTGTTACCTAGCCACTAAGGGGAGATTATCTAGGGGCATAGACTTAGTCATTTATCTTCTTTCCTACAGTTGGAAGAAGATGAAAGCATTGTTCATGGGTCACTTTTTAAAATATCAATCACATGGCAAAAATTCCTGCTATCTTGAAAACTGTTGGTATCTGTGCACAGACCTTCTGGAGGCAGCAGGGACAGAGACAAGAGCTACATCTTAGTGGTCGTTTCAAAATTATAACTTCATGTCCCAAGTTATCAAGAATCCTCATGGAGAAACACCTAGATTCCCCACAGCAAATGCGTGTGCAGAAACTGGACTCCTCTACTGCATAGTAAACTTTCTGCCCAAGTTTGTTCTTGATTTTGTATTTGTTAGCAGTTTCAAAACCTAAAATGGCTAAAAGAAAAAACAGAAAGTCAGTCAACAGTGCATTAAAATTCTCAGTCGATCCTAAGACCACATAATATCTAGATAGTCTGGGTCTAGATGGTATTCCAGATAGCACAAAGAGAGAAAAAAGGAAGGTATGAGTAGATAATCCAATCTGAGGGAAGGAAAGGCAAAAGAAAAGGAAGAGAGGCTAGCGAACAAAGAAGAAACGGAGTACCTCTGGGAGACATGGAAAATGAAACAGTCATTGTTGGTGCTTCTATGATCTAACTCATGAAGGATACAACTGCACGGGTCAGGCACAGTGGTGACAGATGCTGGATAAATATCCACTACTCTAGTATAGTTTTTATACACTATGCAGAAGCTAAAGAATGACTAATGTTTTTAAAATTATGTGAATATAGGAAATCAGTTGGGTTGAGATTTTGTTTTATAAACTGTATTTTTTGCATTATGGTGAAGCAATGGCGAGACTTACTCTTCATGCACTCATGTGAAGTGGGTGAGATTGAAAATGGAAGGTGAATAATAATATTGCACTGAGCCCAGAGTCCCCTTGGAGAGTGTAGGTAGGTACCAGACAAGTGGTAAGTGTGAGAAAGGTGCATGGTAACTCAGCTAAGATTTCAACTTTCATATCACAGTATAGTGTCATGATACCACAATGGCAAAGGCATTGCAAATGAACTCTGCCTTAAGGGTGTTCTTTTTAATGCTAAACCACATGGATGCCAAATGCATATTTTCAAATATTATCCTAGCAAAATCCAGTTGTGGGGATCTTCTCTCATTTAGAGACAGAAAGAGAAATTAATAGTCAAATCTGCCCATAGAAAAATGTCCTTCAGAAGTCCTAGTATTACGGACTCATTTTTGAGCTTTTGATGATACTTGGAGGCCTTAGATAGAGTCACTTAAAAATTGGCATGCTATCAATACCTGCCACAAATAATTTTGCAAAGATTTTAAAAACTACTTAAAAATTAGTTTTTTACTAAGAGAGCATTTATTATTCAAATAGCAATTCAATTATGTAACTTGATCTATACTTGTTTATCTATAAAGTGAGATCAACAGGCTTACTAGTTTTCTTCCAGTTCCATGGAAAATTAAAACCAACAAAATGAATCTCTAGCAGGCAGGGCTACAAATGTAGTTCTATGGTAGCATAATTGTTTAGTGTGCACAAGGCTCTAGGTTTGAGTCCTAGGAGTGCAAAAAAAACCTACAGAGTTACATCTATTTCCTTTTTAATAATATAAAAGTACAAATGCTGGTTATAAACTCAGATGATGAAAATAGAGAAGTCATCATCTTTTTTATTATTTATAATATTAAAAATAATTCCATTTAGGAAAATAAGCAAAATTCATAGACCTGGGTATTTTTTAATCAAGGACTGAAGAACTAGTGAATGTGGATTAATTATTACATAGGGAATACATTTGCTGAAAAAATAATTTTAAACTTACATGTCTAAAAATAGAAATTGAAGGCTATGTAATATATAATATCTGACTTCGTGACTTAAATTCTCAATAGTATATACTGTGGAATTGAATCTTTGTAAATATTCAATATACAAAAGATTATAAAGAGATAGTGTTCATTTCCAGATAAAAACTTGTTTTAGAAAAACATAAGCCCAAAATATTACAATATCTAGTAATGTACATTAAAGGCAATTTAAATGATATAAGAACTATGTACTTTAATGAAGTTCAGAAATGTGTACACAATGCATGTTCTAATTTCTCCATGAAACAAAACTTTGTAAAGAGGTAACTATAAATTTAAAAGATGTACTCTAGGTTTCAGTTAAGTTTTTGCCATGCTCTGGTTGACAGAAGGAGACACAGTAGTTCATACATCTTCCCATGCTCCCCCTCCCTCTGGCAGTTATTATGATTTTCTAGCAGCTTCTTCAGTTCCTTTTTGCACCTGGAGATACTGCACCTGTGGAGACATCTGTAGGCACCTAGCCCATGCTCTGCACAGCATCTCCAACAAACAGGGACCTGTGCTGAGCTAGGAAGTGTTGAGAAGCTCTATAAGACCCAGATTCCATTGTCTGGCAGGGCACTACCACTGATTTGACAGAGCACTTCCATCCTAATTCCAAAAGACCATTCCATTCATTGTGGGATCTGCATCATTGAAGGGGGTTCTGTGCAAGTCTCACACCGGGCACAACTTGGCAGACAGAAGCTAATAAATCAAGGAGGGTGGTAAAAAGTGGCATGATTTATAGATGTGGGAGGAAACGTAAGGTTTGGGTGTTCTTTTTCAAATTAGTATCTGTATTATGAGGGCAGTTGACATAATATTTACCAAGAGATTCCTAATTTATAGAAATGAAAATTTCTAGATAGAACTTGTTCGAAGACTATGAGGAAAAGACATTGTGAGCAATTAAGTTTGCTGTTCTGGGTCCTCTAGAATGCAGTATTTGTGGTATTCAGTATGCCCTTACTTTCGTTGTCTTTCTAGAAATATGATGAATAGGACAAAATACACACCTTCCACAAACTCAAGGTCCTGTTGAATCAGAATGTGATCTATCTGTCATAGTGAAAAGAAAATTAAGAATTTCAGATGTTTTAGTCAACCAAATCTGGATACATATTTTTATTATTTATAACAGACTGCCAACATTTATCAGTATCAAATTCTCATAACTTTATTTTTAACAAAACCATATTTAACAGTTTTTCATTAAAATATAATCTGCTGAATTAATTTATGATTGATGTGGGAAAATTAGGTCAATTTGACCTAACCTGAGATATCTATAAAAATTAGAAAGTAAGGTTTTTTCTAGATTATTTTTGTGAAATATGAAAACATCTTTATCTGTTTAAGAGGTTTTGTTGCTCATCTGAAAATTATTCTTGATGTCATCGTTTGTGGTAACTGAGGGTTCTGTATATCTTATGATTTGTGGACTTCTGTGTGGTAGGGTTTTTTATTTTTGTTTTTTGAGTAGTGTTTCCTTATCTAGTCCATGATGGCATTGCATTTATATCTTTGACTTAGCCTCCTTAGAGCTGGGTTTAGGGCATGGGTCACCATGGCCTACATGATGTTGACTTATTTTTCCTCAATATATGTTTTTATTTAAATTAGAAGCATGAATGCTTTACATGTCAATTCCAGCTCTCTCTCCCACCCCTCCTCCCTTATCCATCCACCAGCTCCCCAAACCCCCCACCCAATCCCCACATCATTCTCCAGGGAGGGTGAGGCCCTCCTTGGGGGGGATCTCAAAAATCTGTCATTTCATCCAGGGTAGGACCTAGGCCCTTCCCCATGTGTCCAGGCTGAGAGAGCATCCCTCTATTTGGAATGGGCTCCAAAAGATCATTCATACACCATGGTAAACACTGATCTGCTACCCAAGGCCTCAGTGATTTCTGTGGTACCTTCACTGACACTACATTCATGGAGTCTGGATCAGTCCCCTGTTGGCCTCTCAGCCCATGATGTTTGAAAGTATTTCTGAGAAATATTTGCTGAACTCCAGATGCTCTTTTGGAAAAAAACACTGAAGCATAGACTCTTACTTTATCTATCTGATTTATAAAACAAAGTAACTATCAACTTAGCATTGCTATGTTAAACTACATGCAGTACCCTAAAACCCAGAATTTTCTTCTCTTATTGTTAGCATTTGAAACATTGAAATGAAAAGCAGTGTGAATGAAAAGTATATCTTTATTAATTACAAGAAAATAGTAGATTTTCATGCTATGCACAGAATATAGATTCATTTTTCAGTACAACTTACTGAATCTGGCCTCTAAGATTCATTAAATGTTTGTTTAAAACACCAAGACATTTATTCAGTATTGCGATTAAAGAGTACAGGATACAGAATCAAAGCATGAGGTTCAAGAAGGCAGATCTGTTTTCATAGATTTATAATGCCGAGTCACTATGCTAACTCTGAGTTTTCCTCTTGTGTAAATGGCTATAATTATAGTACTTATACATCATAAAATTTCAATAAAGAGTAAACTGTTAACCCATATAGCATCTATTGAGTGCAAGCATTCGTCCTTTCTCTACATCCATACCAGATTTTGTTGTCAATTGTCTCTTTGATAATGATTCCAGGTGAGATAGAATCTCAAAAATGTTTTTAATCTGTATTTTTAAATCTTTTTTATTTTAAAACAATCTTTTCTCATTTTGCACACCAATCCCAGTTTCCACTCCCTCCCCTCCTCCTGCTTTCTCCACCTTCACCCACCCTACTCCCTATCCACTCCTCAGAGAGGGTAAGGCTTCCTTCCAATGGGGAGTCAATGAAGTCTGGCACATCACTTTGAGGCAGGACCAAAGCCCTCCCTGCTATATCTAGGCTGAGCAACGTATCCCTCCAAAGAGAATGAGCTCCAAAAAGCCAGTTGAAGCACTAGGGATAAATCCTGATCCCACAGCCAGCAGCCCCACAGACAGCTTCTACAGCTAAGGATAATGAACACTTTTATTGATGTTTACTAGCCACATGAATTTCTTCCTTTTGAAAACTCTCTGCTCATTCGATTCTATAGCCTCATTTTTTGTTGGATGCTTTGTTTTCTTGAAGTTTAGTTGTTTTGGTTATTTTTGTTTTGAGTTCTTACTATACTTCATACACTAATCATCTATCAGATATATGGGTAGGAAAGATTTTCTTCTATTTCCTGGGCTGCCTCTTGACTCATTGAATTTTGTTTGTGGTAATAAGATTTGGCTTCATGAGAGACCATTGGTTGACTGTCAATCTTCTTTCCTATGCTACTGGAGGGAATCTTGTTCAGAGCGACTTCACCATGCCTGTGTGTGGAGTGTACTCATTACTTTCCTTCTAGCACTTTTAGAGCATCAGCTCTTTATTATCCCTCATCCACACTCTTGGCAGGATTGCAAAGGAATGCATACACAATGAAAGTCAATCTGGAAGTTTTGCAAAAGATGGAAAATAAAACGTCCATATGTCCCAGCTATGTCACTTCTGCATGAACTCAAAGGACTTTATGTTTTATTACAGAGATGTCTGTACACATATGGTCACTGCTGCTCTATTCAAAATAGTTAAGAAACAGAATCATCCTAGATGTCCAATAACTAATGCTGTAAAATGAAAATGCAGTACATGCACAAAATGGAATTTTATCCATCTGTAAAGAAAATTGAAACAAGAAAATTTGAAGGTGAATTGATGGAACTGGAAAATATCATAGCCAGTGAGGCTAGATCTAACTTGGAAAATCAAGCACCATGTGTTCTCTCTCAAATGTGGCTAGGTTTGAATCTTTATGTATGCGTTTATTTAAATTATACTGTCTGCAGAAACCCCACTGGAACAAGAGGGGCTATGGGTAATGAAAGGGCCTCAAAGGAAACTGAGGAAGGTAGCAGACATGTGATATGAAAGCTGAAGGAATACTGGGAATGGCAACTTTTAAACAAGGGTAAGGGGTTGAGGAGGACAGGGGGTGCAGAAATAGGGTTAACAAAATTTAAGGATGTATGAAGAATCCATATCACAACTTACTAATTTATAAGCTTCATAACTTAAAACTGTCAGAATGGATGTACCATGCATTGGTAGATAATGCTTTATCCCAGAATCCATGGGTTATTAGATTAAAATCCAAGTGCCAGGTGTGGAACATTTCCCTAGGAATTAGTGTTCAAGAAGGTCCCAAAGGTTCCCCAGACTCTACAGGCTATGGCCATTGTCATTGATCTCCTACTACAAACTTTGGTTCCAGAACTCAAGGAAATCCTACTTTACCTGAGCTAGAAGTTTCCTTCTTGCTGCTGGACTTCTAGTGGTTTGTGGACTTCATACCTTGTATACTATAATACTGCTGAAATAGTGGCACAACTCTTGCAGAGGTAAACAACTGATTTTTTATTAGATCTGAAGTCTGACAGATGGAAATTCATGCCTTGAATCAGGGACCAGATCAAAGTCCCATGGTTCATAGGCACCAGTGATGAGCCTATTACTTTTATCTTACTAAGTGGACATATGATCAAACAGCCTCCAAAATATCTATATTTGTATTCACATAATAGTGCTGCCATCAGTCTTGATCAAAGACACTTCTCTTTGCAGTGAATGTTGAATTAATGCAGAGATCCACCACTGGCCAAGGTGCTGAAAACAAGAGATTGATGAGTGCTTAGTAAAACGCAGCACTCATATCCCCATGTCACCCACTCCAAGGCTCACAGAACATCACAGAAGATGGGGCAGAAAGAATGAGCCACAAATGAAAAGAGGCATTTGAAATACTGTCTTACAGATATGAACTCATAGTAACAGTGTTTCTCTGCATAGAAGCTACACAAGACTGAGTTGGTAAACACTTAGACACAGATAATAAAGAGACTCATGGTGCTCAACACTCCTCTGAGAACTATTGTTGGTCTCAGGTTCTCAGAATTCTGGGGGAAGGAAATCATTATCCTTAGTGATTTAACTACTAATGCCTTACCTATGTACCAGTGGATAGTGCAATACTCAGGTCCATGGGTAGCCCTATTTGAACTCAGGGATTTTCAAACAATCAAATATATAGCCGGGTGGTGTTGGTGGATGCCTTTAATCCCACAACTCAGGAGGCAGAGGCAGGTGGATCTCTGTGAGTTCGAGACCAGCCTGAGTCGACAAGAGCTAGTTCCAGGACAGCCTCCAAAGTCACAGAGAAACCCTGTCTCGAAAAAGCAAAACAGACACACACATACACACACACACACACACACACACACACACAGGAAAGTGAGATGAGGAATTAGTTGGCAAACAGTTGTCAGGGTAGGAATGAGGATAAGAGAAGGTAGCTGGATTAATATGACTAGAATTTCATTGTAGACACATATGGAATTGTCAAATAATAAGTTAAGGAAGAATATATTATATATTATGCTTATAAAAAAGCCTAGAAACCTGTGCTACATATATACTAGCATTTGACCATTATCATAAATCACTTCCAAGGTAATACAATAAGGCATTCAAACTTTACTTCAGGAATAATACAAATCCATAGAAATCAGTGATTCATTTTAGAATGCATAGTCATGGTTTGTGGGTTATGACATAATATCTAGAGTTAGAGTACTGAAGTAAATAGATTATGAGGAATTCAAAACAGGGCAGATTAGGGCTTTAAGTGGTACCCTTTGTCAAAAATAGCAGTGTTTACTGTCTCTAACTTTTATGAACCACAGTGATTGCTTACCCACGAGTAAACTGGAAGCATGGCCCTGTTATGAATATTTTATATATTTGAACTTACTTGAATTAAATATTCCAATCCAGGTGGCAGTTCAGAGGCGGTGGGGCTGGAATCCATGGGGTCACAGCAGGTTAATCTGGCTGATGAGATTCTGCCTGACTTTGGGTAATAAAAAAATCTGGGCCTTCATCTGCATAGATGGATGGTTGGACTTGGCAGCGGGTCCTGAGCAACCAGAATGTCCAGAAGTTCCCAAAACAGGAGCCAGTCAAATGATTGTTACTGCACACAAAAATGGAATGACCAATACTTTCTGAATTATCCTAAATACAGGTAAGCTGGCATTTCAACTCTAGTATCTATGAACTTTAAAGTGTGTTACCTATTTTTTAAAGCTATTTCCATGAAGTTTATGGGATTTCATATCTTCTCCTAATTTTGAGGGTGCTGGCTGTGAAGAGTCTTTTGGCTCTGGAGAAAATTCCCCCAAATTGAAATATCCCTACCTGGAAGGAAAAGGGGAATTCATAAGCCTCAGGAAGTAAACAAATCTAACTGATGAGAGAAAGCAGAAATATACAACAGGCAAGAGGCCTCTCCCCAAGGGTAAAGGATCAGTTATCAAAGCCTCTGTGGAGAGGCTTTGCTGCCATTTGAGCTGAGCTGTCTGCAAGTTGTGCTGAGAACTGTAGGGATAACTCACAATATACCACTTGTGAGTTATCAATCAACCAGGATGGGATGGGCTTTTTCATGCTGCAGTTGCCTAAGAAACATCCATGTTCCTCCTATAAGGAACCTTTCACACACACACATCTGTAAAAGTCCTCAAATTGGACTTTGTTGGATTTGTTACTTTGGTGTGTTAACAGTGCCCTTGAGTAATAAGACATCTGTTCAAAGCTCCCTGGAAAAAGTTAAGACAACACCCTTACCATTCAAACTTGAATGTAAAATATGTGAGACAAAACTCACAAATGACTAGAGTTGTTTATATGAAGATTTTGGAGTGAGTTCATGAAATGGGATGTTAATGAGAAAACCAAAACATAGAATGTAAACTACCATTTCTAGGACCAAAGCATCCTTTGAAAAAGAATAACTTAGAAACCTGAACAACAGTGTCCCAAATATATATATATATATATATATATATATATATATATATATCAACACAGGAAAGTTTTCTACTGAAGTAATATTTGTCCAGGTCTGGAGTCATTTGACTATTTTCCGCAACTTGAGAAGTGTGGCACTGAAACATGGTACGTAGAAGCCAGGGATGCCATCACTGTTCCCTTGTGCCCAGGGTGGCTCACTTGAATATAAAGAATGCTCTATTGCTAATATTACAGTTCTATATGCAGTAATATGTATGAGTGCAATTAAGTTTCACAGGCTTTTTTTTATAGTTCGTAGAAGAGCAGTTTCTAGGCTCCATAACACAATAGCACTGATAGCTGTGGGGAGAACCCAATATTCAGAATAGGCAACGCATTTAAGTAGAATACTGATGAAGGAAATCCACATGTCATTAAAAGCAGGGCTTAGCTAAAAGAAAATATACAAGTGCCTCATAAACACGGCTTTTATTGTCAATTCCCTCTAAATAAATGAACATTTATAGATGATCTATGATGTGATTGAATTGGTTGCACGATGAAGAGAAACAATTATCAAGAAGATAATTTGCACTTAAGCAGCTTACAATTAACTTCCAAGAGAAAGAAAATGTTTCCAAAATAAAGTTTTCAGACACAAAGCAGCTATTTTAGATAGATATAGCGTAAATGGAGATGAAAGTGCCAGAAGCTTTGTGAGATGCTATAGTGACAAACAGTGGAGAAGGAAGGGGAGAAAAGTGAAACCCCTGATTTAGGATGGGAATTTGACAGGCTTACCAAGAGAGATGCCCAAAGAAGAATAAAGAGCTCTGTCAGGGACACAACAAGACACAATTTACCTCTGGAAGTCCTTTGTAAGGAGTTCTGACTTGATTCTAAGTTTGCTTGGCGGGCAAAAAGGAACTCTGGGGAGAAGGATGAGTTCAGGACATCATTTATTTCTTAACAATGCTGAGCATTCAAATTTCCATTGTTAAAAATAAACTGAAATGATGCCCTTTAACAAAACTAATACACATACCTGAGAATGAACAAGTTAACAATTTGATGCTATAGGGAGGAGACAAAAACAGAACAGTACAACAAAGAAAAACACCCTCCTAAACCACACTTGAGAAAGTTCTGGAGAAGACCAGACGTGAGCTCTAAAACTGCACATTCACATCTTCCATTTAGTCTAGACTTGGGTCTTCATCATCATTCTCATGCCGTTTGTTGGAAGGACTTCAGAAGCTATTGGCCAGCCTGTGATGGTGATGCCACTTTTAATGAACCAACAGGGCAGAAATTCAAGAGGGAATACCTTGAACCTAAAACCACTAAGCAAATACTACAGCCGTCACAGTCTACACATCTAAAGGAATCTGTTGTCCCACTTCTCAGCATTAGTACTGGGCCCCTGGGATGGTCTAGCATGATAACCGCAAGACATCAGACTGTGGTTGTGTCTGGAATACAAGAACCTGGTCTGTTCAACTGCAGCAACCATGAGGTCTGACATGGTTGCACAGGCAGATCTTTATAGTGAAATGCCTGCCTCAAATTCTCATATTTACCTGTTCTGTTTTCAGGGACCATTCTCTTTTGCATAGAAATCCCCAGAAGAAAACGGAATGGCTTCTAAACAGTGCTTACTTGTTCTTGCTTGCTTGCTTTCTTCCTACTTTTTAAACCTTAAACCTTAAGTTACACGTTGATGAGGAACAGTACCTTCTGGCAAAACAACTGGAAAAAAACTTTCAGTTCTTATCACTACACTAGTATCATTTTCCTATATTTTACACAATTATAACATTACACATGCACACACACATGTGAGTGTGTGTACATGTGTGTGTGTTTATAAAAATGCACGAGGCTGAACATGGCTAAAGTATATGCTAAATATGAAAGAAATGGTCTTTATGAAACCTGGCACTATGTACAATCATTCTATGTCAATGAATGGAAACTTTAATAAAAATGATATAAGTTCTGCTGCTATTTGACCTTTAGGCTGCTTCTCAAAGGAAATAGGAATACAGATTAGAAGAAGATACAGATACCAGTCATGATTACATGATGGAATGTTGTGAAACAATAGTTACTTCTTCCTTGCTTTGTTAGGGGTGTGTGTGTGTGTATGGTCTCTTTTCTCTATTAACCTCTTAGGTTGTAACATATGGTACATTGATTATATATCATGGTGCTGGAGCATTTTTATTGCATGTCATAGTACTTATGTCATCACATATCAAGTAGAAGAAGAAGCTGCAGGACTTTACACACTTGTAGAGAAGAATGAGAGCTTTACCAGTTCTACTTGGATAGCTGCTTAATCACTGTTCTAGTTTGCTTTCTGTTGCTGTGATAAACAACATGATCTAATGCAACTTGGGGAAGAAAGAATCTATTTGCCTTATATGTCCTGATGACAGCCCATCACTGATGGAAGACAGAGCGAAATGCAAGCAGGCAGCATGGAAGAAGGCTGCTTTCTGCCTTCGCTATTTTTTATTTGTTTGTTTTTGGCTAGCTTAGATACATTTCTTATACAGCCCAGGCATACCTGCCAATGGATGGAACCACCCTCAGTGGTTTAGGACTCCAGCAACAAAGAAATTTGTAAGGGACTGGAGAGATGGCTCAGGGTTTAACAGCACTGACTGCTTTTTTAGAGGACCTAGGTTCACTTCCCAGCACCCACATGGTGGCTCACAACTGCCTATAATTCCAGTTCCAGAGGACTTGACACCCTTGCAAAGCACCAATGCATATAAAATAAAAATTAATAAATTAAAAAAGAAATTTGTAAATATCTCCTCATAGGTCAATAGGGTGGAAGCAGTTCTTCAACAGAGGTTTTCTCTACAGGTAACTCTATTGTGTCAACTTGACACAAACTTTCTAGCACAGTTGACCCCTTGTAAACTTGAAAACACAAATGCTTCAGAGTTCAGCCATGTTTCCTTTCTTGTTTGCCCTCCAGATCTCATGTTAAAATCACCAATAAAGCACAGCCCCCTGGAACTCACTCAAGATCTTATGGGCTCTAAAGGGCTTTGGTAGCCCCACCAGTCCTACACTCATATCTGCATCACACAGCTTTTCTTGTAGGTTCAGGCTCGCACTGCTCCACAGCTGCGTCTGTCTTTGGTGCATGATCTACTGTCTCCAATATGCTAGTGTCTCTACTGCAGCTGAGAATGTATCTTTACCAACAGCGTATCAGCCCCCAATGGTGCCAAGTCTAAGCTTTTCTTTTCTTTTTTTGTTTTTGTTGTTGTTGTTGTTTTGTTTTTCGAGACAGGGTTTCTCTGTATTGTTTTGTAGGCTGTCCTGGAACTCACTCTGTAGACCAGGCTGGCCACGAACTCACAGAGACCCACCTGTGTCTGCCTCCTATGTGCTGGGATTAAAGGCGTGCGCCACCAATGCCCGGCCTAGTCTAAGCTTTTCTTAATGATCCCTTTATGACTTTCAAAACCAGACCATATGGGTGACTCTTACACATTATAAGATTCAACTTCCAGCTTGAGATGTATCCTTGGACCCATCAATGAACCACAGATTATGTGCACTGACCTTGAAGAAATGCTTCCCAGATTTCACTTTAGTGATACTGGTCTCTTATTAATCACAGTTGATTTTGAGCCACAGCTAATCACCATCAATTGTCCCACTTAAGCAAGTTTTGTGCTGGTCACTTTTTAGTCATAGTCAATTAGATACTATCTTACCAGAAACCAAAGATTCTTGGTTCAAATTATCATATGACCAGCTCTCATAGTCTTTTTGGGATTCTCAATATTGCTTCAGGAACTTTATGATCCAGGCCTCTAGCGTCTGTGGTGATACAAGCATTGTCTTCTACAGTTCCAGTAATAGCTTATAATGCTCTGAACTCTCAATGGCTTTTCCAGCCCAAAGTTCCAAAATTCTCTGCTTTTTCCCATAATACATTCTAAGGCATAAAAGTCTGGGCAGGTTCATCACATCAATATGCTATTCTCTAGTAACAACTTCCGTCACACTTTACTTCCTGCTGCTGTGATAAACAATATGACTCAGAAAAACTTGTGAAAGAAAGGGGTTGTTTGTTCTACACATTCTGATCACAGACCATCATTGAGGGATGTCAGGGCAAGAATTCTGGCAAAGGCAGGAAACATGGAGGAAAACTGCTTACTGGCCTATTTTATTTGAATTACCCTGCTACCTTTCTTATACATTAAGACTCACGTGCACAGGAATGGTACCAACTCACAGCGGTTCTGGTCTTCCCACCTCCATCAGTAATCAGCCAGTCAATCATTCAATAATAAATGCTGCATACACATGGCCATAGGCCAATATAATAGAGATGATTCTGATTAAAGTTCTGTTTTCAGGAGACTCTAGTT